CCCCCGCCCCCCCCGCATCCCCCGGGACGGGCGCAGGGACCGGGACACGCGCCGCGGGGGCCAGAGGGTCCCCGGGAAGCACCGGGGCGCTGCGGGGGGGGGGTGTCCAGCGGGACCCCCAGACCCTCCGTGCGGGACCCGCAGAGGATGCTGCAGGACGGGGCAGCACCAGCACCAGGGGACATGGAGGGCTCGCACCCGGCGCTGCGGGTCATGCGGGAGCTGCAGCCAGCGCTGCAGGGCTGGGCGACACCCGCATGCGACGCTGCAGGGCCACGCAGGACCCGCAGCCAGCACTGCAGGGCTCTGTGAGACTCGTGTGTGACGCTGCAGGGCCATGCAGAACTTGCAGCAAGCACTGCAGGGCTGGGTGAGACCCGCATGCGATCCTGCAGGGCCATGCAGGATCTGCAGCCAGCGCTGCAGGGCCACACACGAGTCACAGCCTGCGCTGCAGGTCTACGCAGGACCCACGGACAGCACCAACGGGCTGCATAGTGCTTGCAGCCAGCGCTGCAGGGCCACACAAGAGTTGCAGCCAGCGCTGCAGGGCCCTGCAAGACTTGCACAAGATGCTGCAAGGCCATGCAGGACCTGCAGGCAGCACTAAAGGGCCACACAGGAGTTGCAGCCGGTGCTGCAGAGCCATCCAGGACCTGCACCCAGCGCTGCAGGGCTGCGCAGGACCCGCGCGTGATGCTGCAAGGCCATGCAGCACTTGCACCCGGCGCCGTGGGGCCATACGGGGCCTGCATGCGACACTGTGGGGCCGCACAGGACCCGCCGACAGAGCTGCAGGGTCACCTAGCACCTACACCCAGCGCTGCAGCGCCATGCAGCATCTGCAGCCAGCGCTGCAGGGCTGCGCAGGACCTGCATGCGAGGCCGCAGGGCCATGCAGCACCTGCAGCGGGTGCCGTGGGCCATGCAGGAGCTGCAGCGGGCGCTGCAGAGCACTGCAGGACCCACGGCTGGTGCCGCCGAGCCACGTGGGACCCACGGACGGCGCTGCGGGACCTGCACCCGGTGCCGCCGCATCAGCCCCACACCAGAACCCGATGCAGAGCCTGGGGGGGCCACGCCCCGCCTGGCCTCCTTCACCACCCACCATGCCCACCCCCTGCTTGGGGCCGGCTCAGCTCCCCACACCAACAGAGGGGCTTCCGAACCCCCCCCGGTAGCACCAAGCACGGAGGGGAGGTTGGGGGGGCGCCCCCCCTCCCTGCCACCCCAGCACCTCACAGCACCCGGTGGGGGGGGGGCTGCCGTGGCGCTCGATGCCAATTAGCCAGCACCCCGCACCGAGCAGCCGGCGGCCCCCCCCAAACCCCCCCAGCACCTTTCACAGTTAAGAGAAGAGACGGCGAACGGGGCAGAGACCTTCCGCGAGCCCCCCCGCCCTGCCCCACGCCGTAGCACCAGCCCCTGCCTCGGCCGGAGCCCCTCCGGCTCCGGGCACGGGGGCACGGTGGCCGCAACGGGCACCGAGCCGGCCCCCCCACCGACCCGCCGCGGCCCCCGCAGCTGCCAGACGAGTAGCACCATCCACGGCAACGCCAGCACCCTGCCTGCGCCCGGCCTGCGCCCTGCCCTGCCTGCGCCATGCCCTGCCTGCGCCGCCACCGCTCTCCCTGCCAGCCACCGGCCACCCGTCACCCCCAAACCTGGGGGGTCCGGGGCCACCCCCATCACGGGGACAGACTCCACAACCACGCTCGGACGGAGGAGCGATGCCTCAGCACCGGGAGGGGGGGGGG